GAAGAAATTAAAAACAAAAGAAAATACAACAGTTTTTCCCTCCAAGGAAGTAAAAACAAATAACAGATGTAAACTGCTTCACCTGTTGCTCACTTAAAAAATTACCTTTGAAGTTACACTAGTGGCTAACAGCACCAATATTAAGACAGTATTTTTCAAAGTTGCCATATATTTCAGGAGCTGTCAGTGGGCACATCTACACATGCATATGAATGTGACTCAATAAATTCTGCTGCTTATTGCACTGGAGTTTATTGCTCCTGGTTGTCAGATTTACATGTGTGCAGGACTGTAACATTGATTTGGGTTGGAGCAGACCTGGCTTGCAGGAAACTTGGGTGTCAGCCTGCCAGCCCAGGGCTGCTCTGACCCAGCTCAGTGTGCTGTGAAGAGGCTGGCTACGGCATGAGGATGTTTCAATGCAGGACTAGCTGGCAGGCAGCCCCCACACTGAAGCACCCCCATGCCCCAGCTAGCCGGATCAGAGTCTATATGCACGCTGCCGCAGAGTAAAAAATCCTGCAGCAGGATAGTACTTGGATTTACAAATACTACCCTGCTGCAGTTTATTAGCTTACCGAATAACCCTGCATATGTAGATGTTAAGATGTTTACTGCAGAGCTGATTAGTCTACTCCACAGTAAATGTACCCAATGTGAATATCTCATGTTAGGCTGAAGTAGATTGAAAAGCATCTTTTCACTTTAAAAACACTTCATAGACATTAGGGACTGGAAGGGACTTCACGAGATCATGAAGTCCAGCCCCCCCTGCCATAGGCAGGAAGTCTCCTGGGATCCCAGCAAAATACAAATCCAAATGCCTTTTGAATGAATCCAGGGTAGGTGCTTGTACCACCTCTGGGAAGAGTCTATTCCAGACCCTGGACACTCAGACTATAAAGAAGTTTCTCCTTATGTCCCGTCTAAACTGTCCTTCCAGGAGTTTGTGGTCATTAGACCTTGTTATCCCTTGGGGAGCTCTGGTGAACAACTCTTCTCCCAGGTCCTGATGTACCCCGCCTTATATACTTACAGGCAGCCACCAAGTCAACCCTGAGCCTTCTCTTCTCCAGGCTGAAGAGTCCCATGTCTCCTGGCCTCTCCTCATAAGGTTTGCTTTCTTGGCCTTTGATCATATGGGTCGCTCTCCTTTAGATTCTCTCAAGCTTATCCATGTCCCTCCTGAAGTGGAGGTCCCAAAACTGGATGCAGCACTTCAGCTGTGGCCTCACTAAGGCTGAGCAGAGAGGGAGGATGACATCCCTGGTTTTGCTCGAGATGGTGGATGCATGCCAGTGTTTGGTTTGCTTTGCCAGCCACAGCATTGCATTGGTGGCTCATGTTCATCTTGTGGTCAATCATGACTCTCAAGTCTCTTTCAGTTGTGGTGGTAGTGAGCAAAGCACTGCTGAGCCTATAGGTACAGTGCTGGTTTTTCCTCCTAAGGTGAAGCACCCTGCACTTCTCTATGTTGAATGCCATCAGGTTAACACTTAAACAGTACTGTTTATACAGACACACTTAAAGTTACTGAATTATCCAGAATCAGAAGCTTGCAGTCAAAGCACTGGACTGGAAACACAGTAACTGACTCAAAAGCAGTGCTTCACTAACAGAATTAAGCAGGTGCATAAGTTTTAGTAGGGGCAGAACTTGGTTCCTTACTTGTAAAGTGAGGATTATCCCACTTTCTCCTATCCTTGCTTTCTCTTGTTTTGTTAGGCTTTAATCTTGGAAATATTTATGTGCATGCTTAGATTTATTAAATCAAGCTCTTCAAACTAGGAACCTATATGAGCCCCGTGGCCCCAAACTGCACTCCTACCTTTCCTTCTTTACCTTGCTTTCATCCTCATTGTCTTGCAAACTCTGTCATCTTGAGAAGAGACATCACTCTCTTTCGGCATTTCCACAGGCAGTTCTGGTGCTCTGTGCTTCTGCTGACTTCAAATTAACCATTATCTTGTTTCTTGATAGCTGATAGAAATGGTAACAGATTCACCTTTGGTCCAAGGCCTTGATTCAAAATACTTCAAGAATAGCAAAGGACTACAAGGAACATATTGTATTTCCCTGCAGTGTGTAGGAAATAATTTTGCAATCTTTAGAAAGACTCCCTTGCTGTTGCATCTATCAGGATGAAAAGACAGTAATTAGAACAAATTAAAATGCCCTAACTTCAGACCAGGAAATGCAAAGTTAAAGTAATGCTGCCCACCTAACACATCTGTGAAGTTACCACCACTCCTCTTAGGACTCCAGCACATGGAAACAAAGTAGCTCTACATGCCATGATACCCTAAGTATCTTTGCAGTTGTGTTGGCCATACATAAAACTAGTGTTTGTAGGGGAAAACTAGATGTTCTCACTCTGCAAGGTCCTGGGGGCATAAAAAAGACAGCAGTGTGAAGTTTGTGTGGGTGTGATATATAGGAAGCCTTCTCTTAAGTAATGTCTTGGTTTTCTTGAATTCTAAAAGTGGAAATAGACTGAGATTTCTGTGTGCTGCTGCAGAGCCTGGAAGAGAGTTCTCTCTCCTTGGCAATCTTTGTTGCTATTAGAGTGGGAGGTTTTAGGCTGACAATAGCAGTAGGCCCTAGAAACCTTTCATCTCAACTGAGGGCAGGGGTGAAAATAAAAAAAAAAATAAAAAAAATAAAGAAGAGGACCTTGCTACCAAGAGAAAGGGTGAGCAGCCTATGAGTACCCTACCTTGGATGCTAGTACCAGAACCATCGGTCCATCAGTGTCACCTTCAACATCTTCCTTGTGAAATATAGTATCTCATCCAGCACAAACTTCACTGGATATCTCCTTACCAGCCTTTCTAAGCCATATTGTCTTCTTGCTTTCTGAACAGCAGCCAGGCACCTGGCTGACTCTAATTTCAAGGCACTTTGCCAAAAATAGGCAAAAGATCTGTTGTGAATCTAAAATCTATGAGTTTGCTGTTGAGGATCATGACAGTCCTTAGCTTGTTGCAGATGGACCTGCTGTTTGCAGCCCACATACTTCTAAGCAAGCTACTTAGAAACTGTGACTGACCACTGCTTAACTGTGGACTTTAGAGATGCACACCTCCTGTCCTGGGAGGTGAAACAGTTCAGCTACTCTAGGTCCTAAAACCAATGCTCTGACCCAGTGGTCTATGCATGTTTCTTACAGGGCATAAATTCTGTGGCTGCTCAGAGTCCTAGTTCAACTACAAGACAAATAAAGCAAGGAACACAGGTGTTGTACAGGAGTTTGTAAAACCACAGAAACCTTTCCTCTCAAACCACATAAAAGTAAGAGATTAAGTAAGCTGTGTTTTGTCCTTGACCTCTCTAGGCAGTTACTGTTATTCAAAACATAGGCCACATTCTCTAATATGGTGATTACAATGCAAAGGTCACAATTTGTTACAGGCTTGTACAAACATACCAGTCTGTCACAGATGGTATAACACAGAAATAAATCACTTTTTAATGTGGCTATCTATAACTAAGTTCAAAATGTAAATATGCAAGAGAAAACAAAAATGATTACTAAAATAGTAACAGAAGTGAGCACTGCTTGCTTAAGTGCTCAATTACTGAGTCAGGTGCCAAAAGTACAAACAAGCAAACCAACGAATGTTTTTCTTCTTCTTCACCTTCTGGTTGTTGAAAGTGTAAGGTATACTCTAGTCAAGTTTACAAGCCTAGCTCAACCTCAAGAGTTAAAAAACTTTAATAAAAAATACTGAGATTTTTATTTGATTCCAAAAGGGTGATCAAGAAAAACTCACTATCAAAGGAAACGTGAGTCAAATGAGTCAGAAAATTAAATAGTAACCTTCAAGAGTTTTCCTTTAACAGAGGCTATTTTTGCCTCCTTTTAAACTGAGCATATTTTGGACTGTTATCCAGAAGGTCACACACTTTGTTTCTTAGAAAGGCAAGAGATGTACATCCAGACAGACCTCTTGCCCTCTCTGGATGAGGAGGAGAATCATCAGCTTATGGGAGGAGCAGGTTCTTCCAAACAGCGTCATGTCCACTAAAATCAGGCCCACAAAATGCCCATTGAGTTTTACAGGGAAAGGAAACAAGTGCCACCAAGTTGAACAGAGCAAGTTTGACCAGTTAATGCTAAATCAGAAAAGTAGGCTGTGTTCAAGGACTGAGCACAGGGTGGGGTGTCTGAAAACACAAGGCATTTATACACAACTTTTCATCTTGTGATGCGCCGGAGATCCATCTTTGCACCGTGTGCAGTTGTACAAGTGGTGAAATGTGCATTAGTGTGCAGAAAATAGCAGTGGTGCACTTTTGAACTAAAGCTCCTTGTATGTATTTTAGTTCAAAAGCGTGCCACTGCCATTTTCTCAGCGCTGACATACCTTTTGCCACTCATACAACTGTAAGTGACACAGCACCAGGCGCTTTTCAAACCACCCAGCACTGCAGTGCTTGCATGTGTAAAGAGGCCCAGAACTCCTATTCTCAAGTCTCCCCGTTTTGCCTTTGACAAGTCGCTTTCAGTTTTTCCCACCTCTAAAAATACATATGCTACTACTTACCCACCTTTGCAAACCAGTTTGACATGTCTGAAAAGTGACAGAAATCAGAGTACATAATAGTGTCCCATTTAATGAAGATCTCATCTGCTTTGCACTGTAAACATTAATCGCTCTAATGATGAAACTTCCATTTATCTGTACTCTTTTAAAAATCTTTACCTTTTTTTATAATTTCAACTTGAGTGCCTAACTTTAAAAATAACTGAGAAAAGCTGTTTAATGAAATTGTGGAATGTAAGAAACCCACACTGGTGGCTGGCTGCACTCAAATAAGTTCCTCAGTTACAAATATGACTCTACTGAAATAAAACAAAGGTATGAAAGAGCAGATATGCGTTTTGTGTTCTGAAACCAATAGCTGGAGATCAAGTCATTTGTATAGCAAAATCTGCAATAAAGTACAATTGTCTGCTTTTCCATCTCCTGTGACTTTAAAAATTAAAAAAACCCAAATTCCATGTAGAGAGTATTTTATTTGTTCACATTTACCCTATTTGTGGTTAAAAAACCACATCATCTGACAGTTTTAAAAGCATTCTTTTAAAACAAAAGAATCAAACAGCAGCTTTAGCTAAAAAAAAAAATCTGGAACAGTTACATGAACATAATATACAGTAGTATAAAAAAAAAATCTACAGTATTCAGGTGGAAATATTCTGAAGAGAGCATATAGACTTTAGGCATGTAAGAATGACCCTGAACTGAACCACCGTGAATTAGAAAACAGCTAACAAAATAAAAAAAATCTTGAATATTTGTATAAAAGAAGCAAGGATTCAAAGTGCAGGTGCTCCAGTTTTCATTTTAACATATCATTCAGTAAATTGATACAGGATACTATTCATTTTATATAAAGTGACAGTGTAAGACTTAAACATTCAGTTACATTATCTTTCAGAATTTTTTCAGTTTACAATTACTTCTACTTTACAGCATTGTAAATGAAGACTTATGCAATACAGATTTTAAACTTCTTAATCTAACAAGGATATATGACATTGGTGGTAAAGGTTAGTTTAAAGAGCTGAATATTGCAGATAAACTGCAAATCCAGGTACAGAAGTATTTTTTTATATTTAAAAAAAATCTTTTCCATTGTCAAAAGGGACACTATCAGTCCATCTGGGTGTCTCCATACATCTTTGGGGCAGAGTAGTGAACTAAGGCATCTTGCTAAAGAAACCCTGGGTTTGAATGTCCCTCTGGACTTGCACCACGGACTGCCTCTTGTTCCACCTGCAAAACAGATGCCTCAACTTTCAGGCTGGGAAAGCCAAACAGGCCATATGCGATGCTAGCAACATCCCTCCCTTGCATGCTACTGGCTACAGTAACTGGTATGCCTCAACTAATTGGCCCAATGCACCACTTAAACTCAGGACCGACTTTTGATTTCTTTTTCTCTTAAATATACTTTCCTTGGGCAAAAAACAGGTCCCAGGCAGTATCCCTAGAGTGGTCTTTCATATATTAAAAAACAAAAAAACAAGGCATTGGTTAAAACTGGTTAGCCTCTTTTTAAAAAATATACGGTGTTGTGGGGCAGGGGAGAGGAAAAAAAGGGATGCTGCATTACACTTCCTTTCAAGTCCTATGTAGGTTGACAGTGTCCCTTTAAATTTTAGAGATATCACCTATCTCATCAATAATCCAACCTTTTTTTTTTTAGACCTGTTTTAAAAATGCACGCGAATATCTGGTATTCAGTTTATAGTAAAATGGAGGACTAATCTTTACCATGTTTATATCTACAGCAAGGTTAATAATACACACGTTTTACTGACAACTGTATTTTTTTTGTATTTTGAATAAAATTTGCATTTTCGTAACATTACCCACAGAAAGAATGATTATAGTTCAAGACAGTTATATTTGCACTCCAACATTTTCACATTAGTGAAAACTACCATTTTTTGAAGATACCAGAATATGTTGCAGGTACTAATAAATATGTAATAAAAATAATTAAATAAAAAACAAAGACCCCCCCCCCAACTGTTCTCTCAGCCTGACATCGTAGAAATTTCATAATCACTTGCTGAAGTTATTGGCTTGCCCATCATCCTTACATTCTTAGCGTTAGTAATTCTAGCCATCATAGACACTGGCTTATCAAAGTATCTCACCAGGGCTGGCTCAGTCAAAAGGGAGGCTAAAAATTGCTCAAAGGTGATAGCCCAGTCTCTGTCAATGCTAGTGCTTCTAGGCAGAGAAGTGTTGTGGCTGCTTCGCACCAAAACTGTATCTTCACCTATGTCCTCACAGTGCAGCTTTTCCTCTTCGTGTGAGCCTGCACTCAGTACTGAATAGGAGGACATGGAGCTGTCATCTTTAGTGTCATCATCAGAAATAAGCATGGAAGAGCAGGCTCCATTGTCCCTGGGAGATGAATCCTCAAGCTTAATATCCTCCATCTGTGCACCCAATGAATTATCTGTGCAAATAGTCTCATCATTGGCAGTAAGGCCACCTTGGAACGATTCCTGCTGTTCAAGGGGATACTGCTGGCTTTCCTTTTTCTGGAACAGCCCACTCTGAAGAGCTGTGCTGCAGCTTTTACTGCCTCTGTCTATTTCTTTTGCAGACTGGATAGAGAACAGTTTACCAACCTCACCTATCTCCAATAGCAAACTTGTCACAGCAGCTGTAGCATGGTAGAGATCTTGTTCATTGGGGTCTTCACTGAACATATTATACATTGTCTTGCATAATTCAATGAACTGGCCCTATGCACAGAGGAAAAAGAATAACTAATGAAAGGGAGGAGAGCAAATTTAGTCCCTGAGACCTGGTTATAAAGTCAGGATAAAGAAATCTCAAAATTCTTTATTTTGAAGAACAAAGAATGTACCTAGCATGCACATCTTTGTGTGCATACTAGGACATCAACTAATTCATGTGATAAAGTTAAAAGCAATCTTGCTGTTCTAGAATATTATCTACGATCTGAAAAAAATGCTATTTTGTACCTCTCAAAGTTATTGCCATCAAAGAGCGGATGTTGCTAATACCAACCTCGCCCACTGGTACAACCGTTTCCCATCAGTTCCATGGTACAATGATTGTTCAGGCTATCCTCATCAGAAAATAATGGCTCTAAAGTGGGCTCCTAAAAAGCTCAAAACTAACACTGACTTCATCTACTGCTTGTATCTTGGGGCATGTGACAAAGTTTCTAATGAATATGAGGACATTAAAAGTAGAAGTAAAGGGATCTTGGGGTTCCATCAGCAATCTGAAGGTCTGGAGCAAAAAGGGGTACCATTATTGTAAATGGTAATCTAACTGAAGACTCAGCTTTCAATCTTCAGAATCACATAATGTCCATGGACAGAACAACAAGCTGGCAGGTAGTGTAAACAGGGAACAACTAAATATAATGCGGGGAAAAAAGGTAGCGTTTAGGCTATTTGACTGCAGAATTATCTCCGATGTAAATGGCACAGGTCTTGTTTTTAAAAATTAATTTTGGTCTAGATAAAAGCAGGTGAATTACTGTTAGGGAATAACCCTTCATAGCTACTAACAGAAAGAAGAGATGCTGTATAGGTCTAAGGAATGAGGCAGTTAAGACTTTTTTTGCCAGTATATTGAGCCACAGAATACAGACCTGATTTTTGAAATCCTAGAAGTGGCACTATCCTCCCAGGGCATTTTTAAATGGTAGTGAACAATCCTCATACATTAAGCTTGGCCCACCTCTTTTCCATTCTTAAAGCCATTTTAACTTTGCAACATCTTTAAACAAAAGTATAATTTAAAACTTAGAGTAAATGTTAGTTTTGAAACTGCATCTACTGCTTCTATTTTTGGGCATGTGACAAAGTTTCTAATTAATATGAAAAATAATGACACAGTAAATATCAACAACATACCTGATTCAGCTTGGGCAAATCCTTTGTGTTTTTAGCTCTGGATTTATTTTCTTGGCTCCACATTCTCAGGTAGTTTCTATTCTCTTGAGAGTTTTTCTTACCTAATGTAAACAAATTGCCCAGAAAAGGAAAAGGGAAATCCATCAAATCATGTTGAATTAGCATTTGTGTGGGGTAAAAAGAAACTAGTTTTCAAGCAGTAACATTTACAGACTGAATACATACCTTTGTCTGCTTTCAGACTAATGGTGACAAACCCATCATCTGCTCCTTGTTTGTTCCTGCTGTCTATGCCAATAACTGTTGGAAAGTAGTGAAAAAACAAGATTTAATATAGCTTGAGATACACGAATACTATTTTCATCTTTGCATTGCAACACAAAGAATCTATTTAATCTTTTTAAAAGGGCAGTGTTAATAATGCAGTAAATTATGCCCAAGTTTTTGCTTATTCTTACATCTACTTACATGTTCCATATAATTAACAATTTATATATTTACATATATAAAGACTGTCCTTTGTACTCTACAATGGTCTAGACGATGACTGGGACTCACAGGCGTTACTGCAATTGAAGCAGTAATAGCACCACCACATACTAATGTGATATCAATATGGTCAACTGCATTTATCATATGCATCTACACACTTCACCTACATTTTCTCCATTAAGCGGTCTCCCATGGGACTGGGGGAAGTTATTAGTGTGAACAGAGAAATATTTAGTGTCCTGAATACTGAAGACACAAGATAATGTACTTATGGGGTTGGGGGCAGGGCACGACCCACCGTGTGTACATTCTGGTGTAATGTCTTCAAAAAAGTACTGAGTTGCTTCAAAAGCAGAATCTGGCTCCTCTTGCTCAGGGGATGGATCTATGCAATGAAAGAAAAGAGCTTGACTGCATTGTCTGGTTACAAAAAAATAAATCACAAGATTTGCCACAATTCATTTTCATGTTCAAACTTTGGAAATATACCATGAGAGCATCTACACTTACATCAGCTGGAACAATAAAACTGTGCACCCAGAAACCCATAAATTTAATTCTCTCAAAGATTAGAGCGATTATTCCGTAACTGTCCCTTGTTGGATTTCTTGCACTTTCCTCCAAAATGTCTGGTACTGGCCAGTCACCATCAGAGATGGATCAGTGGCCTGATCTCCTATGACAAGGCTGTCCAACTTCCAGGCAGCCAGGGACCGCATACTTTGCAAGCCACAGATCCAGGGGCTTGCATAGCAAGCTCCAATAAGCAAGCTGTCCCCATCTCCTTTCCTTGGCATGATGCAAGCAGCCCAGCTTCCCTTCCTCCCCTCTCACTGAGTATGCCACATGGGCTGCCTAGCTCTACCCCCTCACTATGCATACCGTCCCACTCCCCCCGCCCCCCATCTCCCAGCTATACAGGCAGCACACTCCAGGGCAGGCACTCTGGCTCCTCCTATGTGGTGCACACAGCCAGGGCAGAGGGGGCAGTGGCAGGGAGTGTTGCTTGGCATATGACACACACAGCATAGAAAAAAGGGGGAGATTCTTGGTGACCCCTGCCATATGTACCACTTGGGCAGCCCCACAGCATAGGCAGCCCAGCTCACCCTGTACAGCCAGGAGGAAGAGTGTTGCTGCATGCGTGTATGGGAGGAAGCAGCCAGGCTGCCTAGCACCTCCCCACCTTGCCACACACAGCCTGGCTAGCCAAGCTCACCTCTCTCTCCACCATGTGGGTTGCCTTCCTATCCTGCAGCACAGGCAGCTTGGCTCACCCCGGTCATGTGCACAGCACACCATCCCACTCCCCTGGCTGCATGCACCAACCACCGGCAGTGTGGACAGTGCATCTCCCTTCTTTGCCACTCAAGCAGCTCAGTCACTCCAGCCCGCTCCTAGCTGCTGCAGCAGAAGCAAATTGGTAGGGGAAATGGTAGTGGGGCAGCAGCCGTGGACTGCGTGCTAACCTTCCAGGGGCAACGTGACCCTCAAGCCACCACTTGGACAGCCCTGTGCTATGACATATATTGCTCTCTCAATGATCTGTAAATTAGATCAAGGAGATGGATCAATTGGGTAGGATGTTCTACTTTCCTACAGACTGTCCCTCTTCCTATACCCCCTATTGATGGGCAAATGGCTCTTTGTTTACCCTCTATCATATTCCCTCAGATCCTGACATGCCACTCACTCTCTAAGCTTTTGATACTTTGTTCCATGTGCTTGTGAGAGTGCTGTGCAAACCATGTTTGCTAGTTGGAAGCTTTGTAGGGACTCCAGTGCCCATCATAAATTGCACAAGACAAGAGCACTCACTACTACTTTTTTAAAAAGACATTAGAACTTCTGGCCTTGAGTTAGAGTTCACCGATTTGCACCTCAACCAGTAAGTGTTGTCATGCTAGTTTACTCTCAACACCAACACACACTGGAAGTGGATAGGTCGAGATACAAGTCACATGACAAAGGGCCTCCTAGCAGCTTTTCTAGCACTTGGGCATCTTCAGACAGGTACTCAAGGTACACACATTTAAGAAACTAGGACTATTCAAGCACTTATAGTCATTCATGGGTGTAAGCACCATATTGAAGGGGGCCTCAGACAAGAATAGTTTCTTTGATACAATATTTAAAAAAGGGATGTCACCAAAATCACCAGGACACTGGCAGATGGCCTTTAAAAATGGTCCATGTAACAGGCAGAGCAGAAGATTGAAATATGTACTGGAAGATCCCCAGACCCACTGAGGAGCCAAAGCCTCTTATTTCACTCCTTCACTTTCTTAACAGCTGAGCGAAAGCCCACTCTTCCATTTTAATTTGCCAACTTGAGTGGTCACACTCTTATTTTATGCTCTGAGAAGTCCCGGGGGGGGTTGTTGTTGTTTTTTTTTTTTTTACATTTACTCACCAGGCAAAACATGCATTTTATAAAGCAGCTTCAGTTTTTCTGTAAGATCTCCATGGCATGCTGCACCTGAATCAGATTATATTAAATGCATTAGTACTGCTAATATTTTGTACTTCCTCAGTTGCTTAAGTTGAGGAGTTCAGGGAGCTTCATGAACATTTATGAACTAATTCCTTAACTATTTTAGATAGCTTGGAAAGTATTGCCTAGAAGCAGAAGCAAGTCACTTGATGTGTAAGATCATGCAATGAGTCTGTGGTTGAATTGGGAATAGAACAGAGACCACCTGACTCTCAGTTCTATGCTTTAAACACTAACCCACTATTCTTCACTTAAAATGCCTTTTACATTTGCAGCTCTCAAAAACAGCCAATTATTGTCATATTATTACTTTAATAGCTATATGGGTTTTTTATTTGAAAAGAGCATTTGTATATGCCCCACAATTGATAAGCTGTGGACCAAATTAAAGCATCATATGACTTAAAACAGTTAGATGATTTCTGAAAAAGACCTGGGTAGACAAGACCATAATCAAAGATTGACTCTGGGAGAAACTGTTCTCTGGTTTTAAAGTAATGCTCAGCACAGATATTACTTGGACTGTGAAAAAAGGAGTAATACAACATTCTAGTATTCCACTGTAATTTTTTGAATGTTTAAATTACTCAATCATTTAACAGTTAAATATTCTACAATCACCTATCTTTAGGCAAAAATCAGATGATTGAGATAAAGTGGAAATTTATTTCACCTTCCAGTTGAATGTATTAACTCAATGCCATTAAGTAAAATGAAACTGCAAATTTTTTTGACAAATACCGACAGTCTACTGTAAGTATAGGTTTGAAACTGCAGAGAAATTTTATACTGAAAAAAATTACCACGACAAGTTTTGACTGCTTTCCAAAAAAAGAAAAAGATGAATAGAGCACTAATGTTTCCAGCTCTTTCATATACAAGCCACTTGCATAGAACTAGCACATGCCAAACCATTTAATATTTAACACACCACCAGCATTTCTGATAGACTAAGTCATATTTAGAAACAGGCTGTTTTGCTCAGGATATTTTAAGACCATACTATGAATTTGCCTTACTCAGCCCAGAGACAAATTCCCGGAAGTTGATCAGAGAATCTCCATTTTCATCCAGCAGTGTGAATAAGCGTGCAGCTAACACATCTGAGTGGGTCCCACAAGCCCAAGGAAAGAGGAGAGCAAACATCCCCTTGAACTGCTCAAAATCAATGCGGTACTGTTCCAGATAAGGCAGGCTGGGGTCATGCCGGTCAATAGCATTGCTGTTCCCTCCCCAGTAGCAGCTAGTCAGATGTTCTGCCTGAACACAAGGCAAATGCTGTAAGACTACTGCCATTTCTTTAAACAGCTCAACAATACACAGTTACGTAGTGAATAAATAAAATAACCCCCCCCAAAAAACACATTTAAAAACAAGAAACATCATTTGAGTTTAGCAGCAAGATTTCTATCCAACAAGCATAGGCATTTCTAGAAAAAAACCCAGCCAAACCAAAAAAACCTCAGAATGACCTTCCTTCAGCCAATGCAACGTCAAATTCCTTTAAGAAACAGAAGTGAATCTAGTTCTGGTCCCCCAAAAAACATAGCAGTAAACACTTGTTGCAATCAAGGTAGTGAGATGTGCCTCAAATAAGATGTCATGCACCCAGTCTTGTTTTTTCACAGCTAAGTAATCTTTCAAGTCAAGACGGGCCAATTACAAAACACTGATAATTCTGGACAAAAGTCTGTCTGCATTTTAAATATTCTTGCAGGAATACCTGCACAATCTGAAATGTATTGGATTAGGGTCTTATCCTGCTCCTGCTGAAACAAGCAGAGCTTTAGAACTGATTTCAGCGGGACTGGGAGCAAGTCTATAGGCACTGGTTCTGCAGTGTGATTCACCAGGTTGGACTGCCTCTCTGTACAAGTCTTACCACTTTCAGAGGCAGAGAATATGCACGGGAGACAGGCTAGAAACTTGTATGACAGGATTGGCAATCCAATAAGTATTGAGACTAGTAATAGGGGAGGCAAAAAAAAAAAATCCCTATTCACTATTCCAGAAACTGACCAACCAGGGGAAGACAACTTATTGCTGTGTGTATGTCACAGAGACTGAAGAAGGGCAAAACATTTTTAAAAGGTAGGTTAAAGTTAACCACTCCACTGAAACATTATTCTTTGCAACAGAATGGATTTCCAATCATCTGAAGTCCCAAATTCAAGTCTGAAGGTCTCTCTCAACTATGTGCCTTTGCTCAATCAGACATCTTGGTCTTAATGCAAGAAGTGCTTGGTGAAAGTTTTTAGCCTGTGTTATACAAGAGGTTGGATTACAAGCACAGACAAGCAAGTGAACAATTTACAAGTTAAAAGAGGAATGGGAATGGGATTAACTGTAGAGTGGCTGCTGCATGGTAACTGTATGCCCACACTTATCTCAAAATAAATGAAGATATACCACAATAAACTCGGCTCTTGTACATCTAGGGCTAAATTAGCTCAGTTTACCTTGCATTTACTGCTGTTAACTGTTCTTGTTACTGTGAAACAGCTGATTTGCAGTAAATGAGACTTATTCGCTGTAATTTGCTTGTCTCTCTTTTAGATTATTATACTGGCCCCTTCTGGCCTTGAAATCTACCAACCTTATCTTATTCTCCAGCTTTTACTTACTATTAGAATGCTTTACTTCAAGCCAGCCCCGTGACAGCAAATTCAATTACAGAAGATTTAGCATAAATTAAATCCATGAATGTTAACAAGTAGTCACTAACATGCAATAGTTATGGGCTATTCAAAATTTAGCAGAAGGAAGATATTTCTTGACCAAATTTTGTCCTCATATGATGTCCCAAAATCAGGTAGAGACATGATCTAGTTGGGGCTGGTCCTGCTTTGAGCAGGGGGTT